GGATAAATATATAACAAATATATATCTAAAGTCGCCCCATAGCTCATTCTTTCCATTCATACATACTGACCTGAGGGTCCAGAAACACACTCACCTAACAGTTTAGAGCATTTTCACTGGGACTTTTCAGCAATGAGCCACCAGCTATCCATTTTGGATAAGCATGAAACTGAATGATTTGATTTAGAATGCCTAACCCCCTTCATGTCTGAACCATAGACTGGTCTGAACACAACAAACATAGTGAATAATTGCTTTTTGTATTGATAGAAGTGTGTGCCAATAATGTACTTAATTAATGATGAAGGCCACAGGCTCGAATTAATGTGTGCAAGCAGTATGCTGATTAAAAGACTTTAGACCAATACTCCTTATTCAATTCAATTTATTAGAACAAAAGAGACATTTTCAATATAATAACATAAGGAAATTATAAACTGTAAAACTACATTTAATATAAACACAACACAACTAAGTTTGTATTCTAGCAACGCAAACAAATGCCAAAAGCAGACATTGCATGTCGTTCAAGACATCTTTCAAAGTGATGCAACTGAAGGAAAAAAATCCTCTCATTTAAACGTCCATCCTGTATTCTTGAATCCCACATCTGCTCCATATGTGGGAATGATACAAAACATCATGCACCTCGACTGTCTGTGAGTGTCCTTCAGTCAGTGCAGTATTCCAGTTCTCTGTTTCAGGATGCTTTTGGCACGTCAAACATGCACAGACCTTTGTATTTGTGCAGCAGCTGGTTCTTGGTGCGGACCTGCTCCCGCAGTGTGGCCAGCTGCTGCTGCTGCTCCAGAGGACTGCTGTCCACCCCGGGCATGGTGGAGATCTGATCCCGAGCCTCCTGGATCTTCACCTTCAGCTTGGCCAGTTCTTGGTGAACATCCGGGCTGTCCTTGTCCATGCTTAAACAGATTGAGGGGAGAAAGGGAATATGTTATTTCCATATTATTTTTAGAGGTGGGAGAAGTACTCAGAACTTGTACTTGAGTAAAGGTAGAAGTACCAGGGTGTAGGAATACTCTGAACAAGAAACAGTTCTGCATTGCAAATATTACTCAAGTTAAAGTACAAAAGTATTGCCATCAAAATATACCTAAAGTACCAAAAGTAAAAAGTACTCATTATGCAGATTGGCCCATTTCATGATAATATATATGATATGTTTTGATTATAATTGGGAGGCGTGTGGTGCAGTGGATTGAGCGTTGTTGATCAGGTTCAAGCCCCACTGCAGTCAGCATGTCGTTGTGTCCCTGGGCAAGACACTTCACCCCAAATTGCTCCTGTGGGGATTGAGTCGCTTTGGATAAAAGCATCTAAGAAGTGACATGTAATAATTATTGATGCATTCATGTGTTATCAAAGCTGGTAAAGGTGCAGCTAGTTTGAATGATTCTGTATACTGCACAGACCAGTTGGAACTTGAGTCTGATTTAAGAGTAGATTATATATCACATTATTAATCAAAATCTGCGAAGTAACTAAAGGTATTTAATACATGTAATGGAGTAAAAGGACACGATTTACCTCTGAATTGTAGTGGGGTAGAAGTACAAAGAAGCACAACATTGAAATACTCAAGTAAAGTACAAGTATCTCAAAATTGTACTTGACTAAATGTACTTAATTACTTTACACCACTGGTTGTTTTGGACGTTTATCTTTTCTTCTCAGCATATCAGTAGAAGCTAACTTAGCTTCGGCTACCAAGTCAACAAGCTTATCAACCCCACCATAACGACTTTACGACAAGTAAATAGGTTTCCACCGAGCGGCGGTTGCACATGTAACACATGAGAATCTGCCAGTAACCTTACCATTTGATAATATCATGAACTAAAGGCAACAAAGAGCAATCCTCGCTCTCTTTCTCTTCTCTTTGTTGAGGAGCCGCCATCACGCTCCCTGCTCTGCGGCGCGGATTGTGTACGTCATGCGTCGTATGATGACGTAAAGCCATACAATGCTCTTCATACATACATGCTCATAACAAACAATACTGTTAGCATAATGTCACAATAATAACTGTTTCAAAGTGTGTTGACAAAAAGTATCTAGCCTACTTTCAGAAATATTCTTATGAGAAAATCGTTTAGCATGAAAGTGATTTCAAGCTGAAAATCAATGAGAAGAGGCTGAAGTTTATTTCAGATGTTCTGTGTTCTATTAGAATGCTTTGCAATATATACAAAAGATCATCTTTTATAGTGACACTAAAAGTGTTTAAATAATTTAAATGTGTATTCTTACTACTTTTCTAATTCAGTTCAATTGCTTTAGCTAATATAATTAATACTTAAATGTCTTGAAGAAATAAAGACATGCAGTCAGATTGCCAACCCAAAACAACAACCCTTTTATTTGGCAAGAAATGTTTTCCCATCATCTGATTCAAATAAGCTTCTTGGAAAGAGACTTTCACCAACTGTCTTTAAGAGTATCATATAAAGAGTAGCCAGTCAGCTGCTGATCATTAATCATTCCACATTTAATTGAACAAACAATGTGTCCTTGTCATGAATATGAGGGGTCATTTGGTCATGATATCCTGTGTTGGGTCCAAAACAAATGAACAAGTTGAATTACTCAGTACAAATTTAATGACTGCTTGTGCTTAATTTTACTCAGAACTAGCTCTGTCACATCTAAATTATTACCAAAGCACTAGTTCATACCCATCAGTGTCTATTTCAGCATCTGGATTTCCTAGAAAGCAGTGGCCCAGTTCCAATGAACCTTGATAGTCTACTGGCATATAGTGCACTTATTTTGTACTGTAACTGCATTAGAGTTGTTTTTATTGCTGCAAAGGAGACATGCAAGCTTTGAACCAACAGTGTAGTTACTGTTAAAATAAATAAATTAAGCATTGCAGGAGAAATGACATGACTGTTGACAAGATAAACAGTAAATTCCATGTCATAAGATTCTGGTATGGTAGTTTAATCATGTTAATCTTTTAATCGCAAAACAGCTAAACTATTTTCATGTAAATGTGCCATTAATTGAGCTTCCAACAGGCTTCATGAGCGCCGGAATAAAACTAAACACACATATCATGACAATGACTCTAATAACTACGTTTACACTACATTTTTATTAGATTTAGACCTCATCTTATGGTTTTAACTAAAACACCTAAAAGACACTTCAACTCCTTCTCTGTCTACTGAAATAAGTCCTTCCATCAATCTCATGTTATGCCCTATTTATGTCTTCACTATCATTATCATCCTTTATACTCCAGCTGCAACTTCATGCATCATCAAGTTTTGTCAGCAATAAGGTTTATCTAGCAATTTATCAAACTGCGCTGCAAGATCCCAGCTAAACAGTAGGTGAATCATTCATTCAGTTACAAATAAATGTAGCCTTTAGCTGTGTTGTTAATTATTCTTACATACCTTGGACACTTGGAACATAAATTAAAAGTAATTGAAAAAGATTTTTGCTTAACACCATGTCTTGAATAATACCCAGTGAAACCATGGAAATAGATTATAGTGCATGCTGTTGTCTGTGCCGGGAGCATCTACCAATAGGCTGAGGGCCTGTCCCTGAAACCTCTCCAACTGTCTAAGACAGGAACATGTGTTATTTATCCATTCAATCACATCACATGTCACTTGTTAGATGCTTTTATCCAAAGCGACTTACATACTCAATACTGTGGACAATCCCCACAGGAGCAATTTGGGGTGAAGTGTCTTGCCCAGGGACACAACAACATGCTAACTGCAGTGGGGTTTGAACCTGTGACCACCGTGGGGTTTGAACCTGTGAACACCTGATCCAAACACCAACACACAACCCACTGCACCACACGCACCACAACACATCAATGTTTAAGTCTTCTGTTTGGAGAGCTAATTACAGAATATTGAAATGTCAAGACATACTGGCCAGTTTTGTCAGTCAATACAAATTCAAGATTCAAAGGTTTATTGTCATAACCTATAAACAACTACGGTGTAATTATGTTATGCATGAAAACCTTAGATTGCAAGTTCCCCAACAGTGCACTTACAAGACATACACAATACATATACAAAGTAACAACCACAACAATGCAAATCTAAATGAGTTTATTTAAATATATTATTCACAATAAAATATATCATTGTTTTGTCTATATTAACATTATTTACATTTCTTTCCTGTTAACACCACCAACCAACTTGAATATACACACAACTACAAACCTACTGTACAGATCAGAAGACCTGCAGTGCCCCCAAGTGAACAATCAAGAGAATTGACTATTTATTTCAACACATTTTTACGGACATGTCAGATTAGCCAATATTAGTTTTTAAATATATATTTGAAACCTAAATTAAAGATGAATTGGCAGGCTTCGTATCTGTACATAGACAACCAAGTTGACTTTGCAGTTGCGTTTTTTATGTTTTGTATAAGCAAATACACATCCTATGACCACTAGGTGGTAGGCTTTAATTGATGAAAACAAATGGGTTGAACGTTTACTTTTATACTGGGGAATTTCACATTGAAATATTTAGTTTTAGGCCTTCTTTTTTTTCTGTCAAAGGCTAAAACACATTTCAATTTGTTTTACTATTGCACATAATTCCAAAGTGTATCCAATACGTGTATCCAAGTGACAGATGAAGCATCTGTCGAACAGCCATCTGCAATGATTGTCCTAAAGAAAGTGACATACATATTTGGTCCTTGTTGATAATGTATCCTTTTAAAAAACATAGTACAGCTTTGTACCATACAGAATCATTTTACTGTGCATTTTGATATAGTTCCACCCTATCCTGTAAGGGAGGTGATTTATGTTACGGCAACGCCATTGATGCATCCTATCTATGTTTAAAATAATAAATGCACCCACACGGAACGTACGGAACACATTGGGATCCAAACCAAGCGCACCCAACGTGCGCAGCGAACCAACGTAGTGACGTAACGTCTTTGTGTTGACAAATCACGGTGTACGCTGGGCGGGCATTGTGAAGCTGTAGTTGAGTGTTAGCAGGCTAACTAGAGAAAGAAAGCTAACTAATCGTGAGAGTGGAACTGGAGCTAACGCTAAAGGAAAAGACAACTGTCAAAACAGCCAGAGGAGCAGAAATCTTAGAGAAGTGATAATTCCGTTAGGTGACTACATGATGTGTAGCTAGTTAATCAAAGATCGTGTTTGTCAGATACCCGAGGAGTATTTTGGATACTACATCGATTGTCCCATTTCCAAACGGAAACCATTTCTGGACATACAGTTCGTGCTAGGTAGCTAGCTAAGTGAATCATCCAGGAGACTTTTCATTGTCACCTAAAAAACCCAAACTGAATGTTTTGTCTGTCATGAGTCCGGCCGGGTGCTCCCATGTGAACGGTTATAAGGTGGATAATTGGAAACAAAATCTTCGAGTCATATACCAATGCTTTGTTTGGAGTGGTACTGCTGAAGCCAGGAGACGCAAGGTAAAAACACAGGAACTGCAACGTTAGCTTCAGAAAAGTGAAATGATTTGAATGTGGCACCGACAAACACGGAACTGGAGTGCAAATTATTCCCCACATGAAGCACAAACAATGAACGGGTCGAAAAAATTAGCGGTTGAAGTTAAACTGCACTCTTGCAGCAGTAATGTTGCGACTACTAGGGTTAGCCTGCTAGGTTCACCGGTGAGTTAGCTAGCAAGACAGCTTGGTGTGCTGCGGAGACTGTTTGCTTCTCTGCCATCTTAACTCTTTTGTTTAATTTCTGCTTATTAACTCGAGCAATGATTATTAAACATGTTGCTGCAAGTCAATCGGTTAGTTAACTTAGCATTTCTCTTTGGTAGATGCTGAGCAGTTAGCCTCATGGCTAAACTTCGGTTTGAGAAGAGTTGTGGCTATAGGCTAACATTACCACACCAAATGTACCCATTGTGTCTCCACACGCACACACTAGGTCCACAGATTAGCGGTTCTTTCCTGGGCGTCCCAGGTCAGTGTAATTTTCTGCACTGGTCATTCCCTCACGAGGGATACTGGGACGTCAGCTGATTACTTCATTGCCAATTTCTTTTTGGGCTTATCCTACACCTGCTCGGCCTACACAGATCCGAATAGCTTTCTACATTATGATGTCATCTCTGGACAGTGTTGCAGTTTCTTTCATTTTCACACCCTTTCTCCTCTTTTTGTTTTTTTTCAACATACATTTGTTGTTGTTTTGTGTGCCATGATGTTCATTATGAAAAAAACTAACAAGATTACATTCTTCAATTTTATTGTGGATTAACATCGTTTGTAGCTTGCTTGACTGTTACACAAAAACCCATTCTTCTCTTATATATGTCATACATTTTTATGTCGTTGTGATATAATAGGTGCTTCAGAGTGATGCAGGATGGACAGAGCTGGTGAGTTGATGCTTATCCCCTCCTCATCTTCACTGACATACTGTAGTTCAGATGAGTACACACTGGCTTGCTCACCTATCTTTGTGCCTCAGTGCCTTTTTCTTTTAATGGACTGAATATTAGATGTGAAACTACGTAGCGGAATAACTCAGACCCATCCCTGTTTCTGCTGTGATACACAGCTACAGCCAGAGAGATTACAGGGTGGGAGGGCGGTCTATGAGCAGAACAGCAAAAAACACAGCTAGTTACATTGCAGGCATGTCAAAGCAAATGGCTAGTGCAAAATAGTCGATGGACTTTTTGTTTATACAGTGTTGTGGTGACATGCTTTAGTTTGAAAACAGCCTTCTTTATGTCTTTAGTAAGGCATTTTCCACCCTGATGTACCTGTCCTTTAGTATTACACAGTGCTAGAGAGCATCTGAAAATGTATGGCCTGTCCTCAAATGCAGTGAGTTAATCACAATGCAATAGTTTTTTTTCAGCATCCGATGAAAGTTAATAGCAAATATTTAGTCTTCACACACTCTACCTGGCAGGAATTTCATTTAACAGGAGCTCAGTCAGTCGGTTAAACAACTTTCTGTTGCTCTCAAAGTTTTAATGTTCTGCCCAACCACACATGCATGTTTAGCTGTTGCAATCCTAGCCTTTCGATAACTTGTGCGAGAGCCTCGTCTGTATCAGTTATTCAGGCCTAATTGTCTCAGCACTGCAACTTGTTTTACCAAGAGGAAGTGCTCAGCAGCCAGTTCTACAACCACTTTACTACTAAGATTTACCTCTGATAAAAAAAACTGCCATTTTGAGATAAACACTGATATATTGGTATTGTGAAATGTCTCTTACCCGTTTATCTACCGTGCCCTGTACATGGCAGGGAGCTGTCAGGGGTGGATTCAGGCTGGATTGCGTTATATTTTTATGCTTTGTCATCCACTAAAAATGAGCACCACCTACACCACTATGTTCCTCTCACATGCTACTGTGCCGCAGTACACCATTTTACATAACTGATATCGCAAATGTAAGTGAAGGAAAGGCTTCTATGTTCCTTCATTTATGAGAGACATGCCGCTAGCTATGTTAATATTTTGTCAATTTTCTGAGTTTTGGTCATGTGGTTACATTACTGAAAACTGGAATTGAAGATGATGAATGTCCTTTTTTAAAGTACATTTTTCTGTCCTTTTAGATTTGCTTGGGATGTTGTTGTTTAACAGCTGTCTAATATCTGTAACGCTATGTACTAAGGGTTTCTGCTCTGCTCTTATGGACACACACACTCTTGGTACAGGTGACTAATACAGAGAAGAAGGAGAGTGACTGAATGCAGTTTTCTCTCCGCTGCCTAATTGTACTCAAAGATGGCTATATGGGATTACAAATCCTGCCTCACGCCTCCTTCACAGAGACTCTTTACCCTTCTGACATGCAGAGCAGGTGTAGTGCTGCTCCAGAGGTACGCATCCAGAGCATTCTCCTGAGGCGAGACAGTATTTGATTTTGTTCAGCTCAGAAATATGAGCTAGCAGACCAGAAGCTTTTACATCACATCCTGGTATCTTTAAATGGTGGAATGAATACACATACAAATCCTGCATCCCTCCTTAAAGGTAGAGTAGGTAAGAATGGAGAAACCAGCTCGAGTGCGCTAGAATTTGAAACTACGCAGCCGGAAAAAATCTGCCCCTTCATTCAGACTTCCTCACAGAGCCCCTCCTCCAACACACACGAACGCGCACATGACTAATGAGGGCACGAGATAAGTTTGTGCACAGATGGAAGGCTGACAGGCAGGTAGACCATCCTGTTATTTTAGCCGGGCCGGCTCAGATGATTGGTCGTGCTTTTTACAGTGCCACGGCTTCCACAGATGACATTTCTTTATGGATTTTTTGTCAAAGCATTTCATGTATTCATTGCTATCGGGATGTTAAGAGCATTCCATGGAATATGACAAAGTGTTTCTGAAGTGAATTACCTACCCTACCTTTTAATATGTTGACATTTGTTTTTGATTATGTGTGACAACTGACAATGCATATTACTGCACTGCTTATTGTATGTTCATCTTTCAGCAGTGTAAGATTTGAAAATGCTATTGTAGAAGAGTCATATTCTGCAATGAGGGAAGTGGAAAAAACATTTCCCTTCAGGGACTGGGATGCTTTTTAAAAATAATATCAGACCCGGCTTCACTTGCCCGTCTCTTTTATCCTGAATTGCTGTTTTTAACCCCCCTCATTCCCTTACTCACCGTCTGTCCTCAGCAGCCTCTCCTCAAACTGCCACCCTCTTTACCTCAAGCTAAAATCAATTCCCAGGCTATGTGCAGGAACATTAGTGGAAAGCCTGTCACCTGCTCTGCATGCACAATCTGAAACCCCCATGGGTAGCAAATGAAAGAGTGCCAGAGATCGGAGTTTACAGAGATGACATCACAAGCCCTTGTGCCTTTGGGTCTGCTATCCTTAATTAGTGTACATTAATTAATAATAATTGTTGCCATGATGGTCCTAGATGAAATGCCGCAGTAGCTTGGGACGTGCATGTTGGTTTTCACTATTGCATTGTATGAGGGCGTACACACACAATTGTTATCCATAAATTATTGATTTAACTTGGTGACAAATTTGATTTTGTTGTACCCTCTTTCAGGCCTAGAGTCTGATAGGCTTATTGCATAAACTTGTCCGTTCACAGACACTTACTATTCCAAATAATTGTATATGACATAAATGCCCCATGGGGTAAACAATTCAATGCAGATGAATCACTGTTCAAGATGTCCTACTAAGGGAGATGGCAGGAATAAACCAGTATGCAATAGTGTTTTCACATTGATGTTGGTACACTTGTTTTGTTCATCTCTGCTTCATTATATTCTGCTCTAGTCGAGGTTTGCTACGTGTCAAATAGCCAGAGGGGCTACACCCCCGGCAGACTGTCAGTTTGTGTCATGTAACAAACATTGGCTCCATTTCAGATTGCAGAGGAGGAACTATTGCTCTGATGTGCTTCCCCTTCTATCTTCCTGAGTCCTCCCTTTGATTCCTGTCTCTTAATCTATTATTACTGTGTGTATGTTTAATGAGTCTAGTGAGCAGTTGTTTGAGTACGGCACGTGGGCCTTTGTCTGCACAGATTTCAAATGTTTCCTCTCCTAATTGAGATTCATGTTACACCAGATTGCCATGTGCCATTTAAGCAGGCTTTCACAGAAGGATGCCAGCACAGCTCCAAGATGGAAACCTGCCCTGCCCTTGCTTTCGACGGTTGAATGCATTCCTCTTCAGGCCCAGCTCTGGTCATATTTATGATTTATAGTTTGCGGAATGGTGGTGTGAATATTCACGAAGGTCATGGTTATTTATGTTGTGTGCTGGCTCCATTCAGCAGAGAATACGGTTTATACTGTCTGTAAGTGGAGGTGCTATCTCTACTAAAACACGGCTGCCATGAAGGAATCTGCCATGCAGTTAAACCAGAGCTATTGTCTTAGGGAAAGGATGAGATGAAAGCAGGGTGGGTGGGGGCCGGCAGGATTTGACAGACATCCTTTCTTTGAAGAATTTGCAGTCACTTTGATTAAAGGGGTAAGGGTTGTGATTAGAGAACTCACTGACTGACTTTTCTTATCCTAGTTTTTTGATAAACCATATATGATCAGAGGGAACCATAACCCCTCCTTTTCCCACTAGTGCAAACCCCCTTTCTGCTTGTCATGAGGGAATGAGAGAGGATTGGTTACTAGAAGTTGCTGGGAATTCAGAAGTAGAACAATTGATACATTTTCAAGGAGGACATATTGACTTCCTCGTGTCATTCCTTTCTCGCTAATGTCCTTTTTATTTCACACACACACACACACACACACACACACACACACACACACACACACACACACACACACACACACGAAATGCAGGCACAGCCAACCCTAGAGAGTGGCTGATTCCTGTGCTCTGAACACATCTCTTTGTCAGATCATTCTCCATCACATCACAGGCCTGCTTTCTGACTCATCAGCATACGGTTGTAGCGACAGGATCTGTTCCCTCCAGCCTCTTCGTAGCCCTGACTTCCTCTTCTGCTTTCACTCCCACGGTTTTTGTTCCTCCTTTCCTTGCTTTCGCTTTTTTCTTTTATTTGCAGACATAGCACACATTGCCTCTTGATTATCCCATTACATTTCTCTATTTGTCTGTTCTCATTTATTAAAATAATGTGTTTGAGTTGTTACAATTGTTTTATTACACAAAATATAAACTGCATTAAAACTGCAATACCAATTCTGAGGTTTTCATGTGAATGTTTGGATCCTGCGAAATTCATAGCAACGCCTGTAATCCGCCCTTCCTCCCTGCTTCCCATCCTTCCCCTTCATTCCTCTGCCTCACAGACAACACTCAGTGGGTTTGGTGATGTCAGACTTTGGTTTCTGGCCCCTTCCAGCCCTATTTCTTCCATGTCTGTGCGCTCTCTGTCACTCCCAGGTCTTGTCTGATGTGGCTTTTGGTTTGTCAGTCACTGTAGCCAAGGCTCTGTGACTCAGACTTCTGCAACTTCCTCTCTTAGTAAATGGGACTTGTGTGTCCCGTTGCGTCGTTCCTTCTGCCTCACAATTGTTCAGCCTCAAAGAATCCAACCTCCCACATGTAATCAGCATATTAATTAATCATATAAAGGCAGTGAACTTGAAGTCTTCATTGTGCCTCGTGCTCTGCCATAGTGCGTTCATCTTTGCTGTTATTTAAGATCATAGATGCTAAAGGAGACTGCTATTGACAAGAAGCATGGACTCTTACTGTGCTTTAGAAATGTTCCATAATAGAGCTAAGAAGATGCAACGTTGGCATAGGCACAATAGTGAAATTGGTGGTAGAATAGGTGGGTGGGGTGCCGCATGAGGCTGTATATTGACAGCTCCTCCGGAACCGGTTGAAAACGTATATGGTAATAAAAGCAGCATTTGTTATTTTTCCGGCTGTTAT